AAGCAACATATATCAAACAAAATCATCTGAGTTAAAACAAAAGATTAAGTTCAGAGCACTGAGGAAACATAATGAAGAAGTTTGTATCTTCTGTGACAATATTGCTGGTCCTTTGATGTCAAAGTAAGAAAGTGTGCAACTGACCTCCATGATGCACATTTATTACCAGAACTAGCTGGTGGAGATATGGTGGCCATTGATGTACAATACCACAATATGTGTTTAGCAAAGTTGTGTAAACATGCGCAGAAGATTAACAAAGACCATCAAAATAACATAGACGAATTCTCTTTACATAGTATAGCCTTTACCGAGTTAGTTGAAGAATATAAAGAAGGTTTACGCGATTTAAAATAATATTCTCATGCGTTCAATATATTACATACAAAAAACTGTATTCATACACATTGCAGAAACTTGGTATCAAGATAGGATAAATGCACACTACAAGACTAAATGACTGAATATTTGCAGTGTTTCCCAATCTTAGAGCTATCAGAACCAGGACGCCTTTACTATTATTTGACTGTGACATTCTAGATTCAATAAGAAATGTTTATAAACAAGAGTTTGACTCTGAGGCACTTCATTTGGTAAAAGCAATTAAAATTATCCATAGAAATATTCTTAAACAGTCTTTCAATGGTGGATTTCCTACATACTGTCATGCGTATTTGGTAGCATTAATCAACAAGGTATTTAGGTGTTCCAAGCATCAAAGCGCAGTCTGTTAAGGTGTGGACACTATACCAGTTTATCTGACCATTGCCAAACTTCTGGCCTTCAGCGTTTTAAAATCTAGGAGCAATGAAACTCATACAACAACATGCTACTAACACATATATTTTATATAATAAATATTATAAATGTTTAAAGGTGTTATCATAATATAGTTCAACATCCGTATATGAGCATTAAATGGGAAAGTTTAATGTAGTTGAATGTTTTAGCAAAATACTATGGAAAACATAAACATTCCTAACTCAACCACAAGGCGGCGCTATTTTCTTCGCTGTATTTGCTGAAAGTTTAATAATATTGCAAAATCAAAATGTGACGTTATCTAAACGTCTCATTTGGACAACTAAACTCATATAAAATTACTCTATTCATTGCATCATTAAACTGAGAGCTATATTGAAATGTACCCAAGTAATCATAAATGTGACAAACTTTGTATAAACTCTAACAAAAGTAAGATATAAATTCAAAGTATGTGTATGGTTGGATTAAGTTCATATAAATGAGATCAAGCAGTCGTTTAGAATAGGGTATATATGTGCCAAAATGGACAGAAGAAATATTTATTTCAATTTCAGAAAAACGAAAACAGTTGAATATATTAAATATACAATAATAAAGAAAAAAATAAGAGCATTAGTATACAAAGAAATGAATTTTCCCCCATATTCCTCAGCTGGATTCGTCAAGAAGGTTTTCTTTGCCTTCCCAGTACTTAAAATGAAGCCTAAAGTGTTGGTCAACACGAATTAGTTGTACTTAATTCATAATTGTCAGTACTCAAGAAGAAAGAACTGGAACAAGGAGGGATCATGGGAGTAGCACTGGCTGAGTTACAGCATATTTGCACTCTGGAAAAAAAAAAGGAGAAGAAAAAGACACAATTAAACGTGGTTAGTGGTTTCAGCATTAATCCCTCATATTGGTAAAAGGGTGATAATTCACCCACCAACAAAAACAAAGCAGTAAATAAACAGAAGTATGCAACAAATGCATATATAAAACCGCATATCCTGTGTCAGTGCTTCAGACCCTAAGGTGTTATTGTTAATAGATGGGATGTGGATTTCCGGATTTTGTAAGTAATCAGTGCGTAAAAGAAAGGATCTGCTCTGAAAAATGTTATTACGTTCTCTTACAATGACAAGTAAAGAAGTTGTGAAAACAATTCTATTATATATATATAGTTTGAGTTAACCAGTGGCGGATCCATGATTTTGAAAACGGGGAGGCGCGATGATTCTGAACGTAAACGAGGAATTTTCGGGATTTCCTTGGTAGTGGTCAAACGGGTTATTTAGATTTGTTATAACGTTTGCTATATGTTGTTGCAAAGAGGGCAACTGCCCAGGGGCCTGGGCAAGTGAAACCTGGTTATGCCGCAAAGCCCGCAAAGTACCTTTAGGCTATATCTTCATTTAATCACAAAAAGCCTAGTTTTGGCTTTCTTTTGCATATAAACGCTTCATACATTGAGGATGATTGAAATAATAATTTGAGCAATAATTAATATATATTTGTTTCTTTATAGATTTAATAGATATTTGTTGTTACTTTGCTAACATTTTTACACTTATATTGTGAGTTAAAAACGGCTACTGCTATGATTTTGCCTTGTTTATGAGCTCATTGCTGTCCTAATTTAGGATCTTCTTTTTGATAAGTTCTTTAAAATATTAAAAAAGAGAGAGAAAAAGGGGGCCTGGGGAGGATGTATGCCCCTGGATCTGTGCTGGCTCTTGACGCTCTTATGGGAGAATTATGGTCTAAAATATCATTGCATCAATTGCAATAAAAATTAAGCATCAACAGACTGGGAAGGTTACATCCTAAGATATTTTAACAAAATAAATATTTACCTAGTGGTGTAAACGTAAAAATGACGATAAAGCTGGGTAAGAAGGCACATTCAGTTAAATATTTAATGGTTATATGATCCAAGGGCGACCTGCAATGCTCATATGTATTTGCTAGAAATTTCAAGATTATTCCTCTCGTCACTTTGTCACATGCGTAAACGTTTCCAGAAATGTCCAGGTAGCTGACCATACCTGGACAAAGAGAAAAAAGTAATTTTATGTACTTCAGGTAAATTTGTAAGCCTTCAATAATACACAGTTTGAGAAACATGCCAATATATTTGATGATTGGCTGTGCAAATAATGTCTTCTTTCAAGCGTTATATTAAGGGGTTTATTATATATATTTATATATAGATATATGGATGAAAAATAGTTTTCAACCAGACCTTTCACAACCTGTTATTGATACAGTTATTGTACAATTATGAAACAATATTAAGTATACAAAAGAAAAAACTATATGTTGTCAACAACATTTCGATTGATGAGTCTGGAAGTGATTTTCTGTGTATTTACTTTAATAAAGGTGGTTTTTGTTTGGTTGAATTTCTCGAAAGCTACACGAGAGCTATCTGCGCTAGTCATTCTTAATTTTGAAATGATAGACTAGATGGAAGGCAATATCACTCTCGGCCAACTCTTGTCAGAGAAAATAATGGGATATGATTGTCACTATTATAAGGCATCAACGGAGCGCAACTTAATGGTTCTGGTGGTAATGCGACGCTAACCACTGAGCCGCACGAGAAATGTAAAAGAAAGCTAATTTGAATGGAAACTTCTCCGTTAGTGTAGACTCATATATTTCATAATCTATACCTATTCCAATTACAACTTTTATTCGTAAGGAAAATACTATCATGTTTGCTAGAGATAAGAAAGCAAATAATGACTTTTCATGATTTCGATATTAATAATGTTACGTCTCTGGTCGTTAATTAATTTTCCGTAAAAATTCTTTCCGAAGAAACTTTACCGATACAAGTCCTTTCTTAAATAAAACTGGTTTATTCTTTCTGAATATAACTTTGCGATACACTTAATTTCAACAGTCGCGCTATAACAAACGCTATAATTCTCAACGTACGTCTCACGTGCTCGACTCAACAATACTTAGTTCAATTACATACACACTGTTGCCGTCACGTTGTGACCGTCTTATATATACAAGACTAACACATATCTAGTAAACGCTAGAGCATTCATGAAGGAACAGGATATTTCTAGAAGTCAATGACGTGTTACTAGAATCACGTGACCCCGATGTCGTAACAATAACATATTTATGAAATAACCGTAAAAACAATAAGATCAGTGTTCTGTGACATTACTTGTCTAGCGATAATACATTCTGATTAACTTATAATTTTTTTTCAGTTTTCATTTGATATTTTAATGACACATTGAATTAAATATGTGATAATTTGGATGAGACTTTAAAGTATGTTTTTAAAAAAGCGTTTTCGTAGGGAAAACCGATTAAGATTTTTCTGCAAAGTAGTTACTACCCAGGGTTGCCAGGTTGGAGGAAAATCCTCATTTCTGGGGAAAAACCAGATCAATGGAGGAAAAATATGAGAAAATCTTTCATGCGGGAATGTGTGTGTAAAAATATTTTTAAATGGTGGAGGGATTCAGATAAAAATGGATAATTTTATGCTCTCTGTAATTGGTTTCTTAGAGATATTTTAATAATTTAACCTATTTTCTAAGAGTGAGTGATGCGGTAGCCAATTGTACAGGCTTTAATTTTAACCACAAATCCTACATTAGAATCATATTAACCCTATCAGGACCGCATGGTTTTCATTGTGTCATCCCTGTTTGTTTTGTTTTCGTATTTAAAATACTCAACCTAATTGTATGAAATTTGGAACACACTTTCTACATTGTGTCTAGTTTGTGTTTAAAAAATAAGAATAATTTTTTATAGTATTTTACATTATAAGTTATTGAAAATGTTCTTGTGGAACTTTCTTTTTCTTTTTTATATTAAAAATACTTCCTTTCGTCTACGGGTTTTTCTTTTTAGTTGTTGTGTGTCCAAAATCTCGTAAATATATTCAACAATTTTGCAATTATAATTTCATTTATTCACTCAAATTGCATATCTGTGTAAAGTTACATCTAATAATAGTCTGTAAAAAAATGATAATAACGTTTTTTATTCTCATTCTTGAACAGTCTCCCGATGGTACAGCAGTAAGTTTAACGCTAACATACAAAGTTCGATTCCCCGCGGTGTACACAACAGCCCAATGTGGCATTACTCTGAAAAGGAAACAAATAAATCATTTTTGAATAATACATCATATACATGTTCATCGAAGAAAATGGCTGAATATTGGGGATTTCTTATTGACCGATAGGGGGATTTTGAGAGAAGTGTCTAGTAACACTGCAACTACCCAAACTCAGCACATTTGAGAGTGGATAGAAGTAAAATTAAACAATTTGTTGTGAAAGAAGGAAAGTATATTGTATTATATAAAGAATTTAAAGCATATTTGAGCATTTTACTTTTTATAACTTTTAGTGTCTTTGAGATGGAAAGAACACTGTAAGTAGAAAAAAGATTTAAATATATTTTTTTAACAACAATGAGAGGGTTATTACTATTACTACCGTACTATTATAGTATTGCTATTAATATTGAGTACTCGAATAGGCCTATTAGTATTAATATATATAACATTACATTCGGTGGATTGCTAGGTAGTGTTTTCTGTTTCATAGCTTTCATAATTTTACAAACGCTTAGAAATAGGAATCGATAATATTAACATTAGTGTTAGTAATATTAATAATCTTCACTTTTGCAAAATATGTGTAACTTATAAGTAGGCGAAAATAAATTTAAGAGCTATTTTTGAATAACTATGTCATGATGATTGTATGATCTATAATATTACTTATTTAGTTATTACTAGGGAGTAGGCCTTTATTTTATTACTATTAATATTTTAGTATTACAGAGAATTGCTAGGTAGTGTTTGTGTTTTATAGGAACTTTTTATTTTTCTGGTCTCTGATGTTTAACTTTGAAATTGAAGGTCTTTCAGATTCATAGTTGGATATAATTTTACAAATGCTTAAGAAAAAAGACGTGGATGCTAGTATTAGTATTTTTATTAGCCTTCACTTAGTCTAAGTTCTGTAAGTATGAGAAAATAAATTTAGATATATCTTTTAATAACAATGATACTGATAGGTCTATCCACTTAATCACTCACACTCAGTCCTCTTTGAGGTGGGTAGCATATAAGGCTTCCATTCTTGAGGTCAGCGTGATGTCTCAGTCATGAATTTGCCTGGTAACGAGATCTTCACCTTGACAAAGGGGCAAACGATAGCAAAGCAAGTATAGCTGTGTGTGTATGCAGTTTATATAGGTCTATAATATACATGTGTTACTGCTGAAGTTGCTGTGTAAATTCTTCAATTATCTTATATTATTCTTCATATATTATTGTTTGGTTCTCAAATTATCAATTGAAATGTCTTCAATATATGGAGAAGTTGTCGGCCGAGGCATTAGCAAAATATTGAGTAAAGTTACAATTAATTGGGCTTGATTCTTTTCCTTACCAGCACCCTGCTGACTTGTGGATCAGCAACCCGACAGAATGGCCCAGTGTGCAGTATCCAGGCATGTACAATTACCTTGTGTGAAAAAAAATTGGAAGATAACATTTACATGGTATAAAATGAGCTGAATACGCTTGGTTATAGACAGACTTTGACTCCCACAGCTTTCCTATTGCTTCCTGTGTTATGTGGTTGATAGCTTTCAGCCACAACATTCTTCTCTCCTTTTCAGTATCTTGATTTTGTAGGAAAACATGCTGTTAAAAGTAAACTACTAGGTCGAACTAGTTTTTAAAACAATTATCGACAAATTGTTTTAAGACTATTCTTGGATAGGAATAGAATCCCATAAATGTTTGCTTTATGCTTACTATTAAGGTGAGCTGGAGGACTGGTATCAAATAGAAGGAAAGTTCAGGTCTTTTCAACTTGTTATTGGTGCAATTGAATATGCAACAACTCTACACCATATTTGCGTGTTTGGAACAACAAAAGTTTATCACAAACACAAATAGTCATTACAAATATGAGTTTAGACAGCAGGAAAGTGTACAGAATGAATGAAATTTCTCCTTTGTTGCACTATTTGTTTGCCCCTTCACCTCGGTTGCCATGCGGACATTGCATTGTGGGAAGGCAAAGTTCCTGGATGTCTGACCTCAAGAATGAGTTATTTCCACTGCTCATGGTCTGCAGCCTGTTGTCTAGCTGATTCCTATGTCAGATTGCATTCTTTTAATTCTTTCTCCACTGTCCTTTTCCAGGTCTCTCTTTTTTGGGTGCAACCTTGTTTCCTCTTCCCTTTTGGTATCAACCAAAGGGCTATTTTGGAGAGTGCAGAGGATTGTATTCTGCATACATGCAACAGCTACCTCCATTGTCTTTTCTTCACATTCAGTGCTAGGAGTTGTGCTCCTGACATGCTCAGCAGTTCTTCCTTGCTGATTGTGTTGGGCCAGAAAAGTTCTACTAATGAATTGGAGGTATTTTGTCTGGAAGGTCTCAAGTTTGTTGGTGATTGATGAAGTCAACTTCCAACATTCTGAGCCATATAGAAGTACATTACTTTGGAAGATTCTAAGTTTGATTTGCAGGCTAATGTTCTTGGATTTCCAAATTGTTAGCAGTGTGGGAAAGCCATGGTTGTTTTTGGTGACCCTGGTATTCACCTCTTTTTTTTTTCTCTTTCACTCTCCATCTGTTATCGCATTACTGCTGAGGTTTGTGAGTTCAGCAACATCTTTCACATCCTGGTCGTCGGTGATAACGGGGTAGTGTTATTCTTCCTTATGCATTTGGTCTTTTTAGTGTTGACTTTCGGCCCTAATCACTTCATTTTGTTTGAGTTTACAGTTCTCTCTTGGATGTCAACATGCCATCTTGCAAAGGGATTGATGCCACCTGCATAGTTAAATCTTCAAGTTCAAGCACCAACATGAGTGTCCATTAAATACTATGCTTATTGTGATCTGTGATGATTGTTCTCATAAGCTAATTCATAGTCAAAATGAGTAGGAAGGGACTTAAAATACAGCCCTGCTTCACCAGTCTCTATATAACTTACAAGCTGGGTGCCACAAATCAACTTACACTTGAAGCCATCATGCAACTTACAAGCTCTTGATGACACTAATGATCATCTGTGGAATCTCATATTAGTATTACTTTATTATTAGGAGATAGCCAATTACTGTTATTAGTACGTAGTGTTTGTGTTTTGTACAAATTTTGTTTTTCATTTTAATGTTCTTTGATATTTTTAGTATTGATATTTTCGTTAGTTTCACATTGCTTATGATAATATTAGAATTAAGTCTTGAATAACATTAGTATCAATTAAGTTTTAACATTTATTCCATGATTTTATAAAACCAACAAGTTTCAATGAAATATTTGCAAGTTAGCCTAGATTAATGCTAAGACTTGTGTCATATTTAAAGTTAGAAAAATTCCTATTAGTATTACTGTTAATGCCCAATGAATTTTGCCAAAGCTATTTATTTTAAGTTAAGCCTAATGCAAACTTGTAGCAGTATGTAAGTATAAAATTAAAACACTAATTAATGACAACAAGTGTTAAGACAATTTATAGAAAATATTGATCAATATGGTGGATTGCTTATGCTGTTGTAATTAGCATTTTGGTCTTCTACAGTTTAATATCACTAAATATATCAACATTTTTCAGTAAAATAGTATTGTTTTATAGATATTTCTTTCTTATGTTGCTGTTTTTGTTTTACTAAAGTAAGTTTTGATGATTCATGTTACTAGTTACTAAGATCAAAACATCTTTTCATTGTCACGCCTCTTATTAAAAAATGTATACAAATTGAAATACTTGAAATAATGTTAACATTCTGTTTGGGGTTTTAATTTTAGGTATTTAAGATCCAGCAGTTTTTTTACATCTTGTAATTGAAACTTGAATGAGATTAAAGTTTATTGGGCACTTTGCTTAAAACTTGTTCAGATCATACTTTTACAATTTGGAAGAAGTTTGATATGCATCATCTTATTTTTAATGAAGATAAATTGACAAAATATTCTAAAATACAAGCAGTATATAGTACAAACAATAAAAATGCTTTGAGGTGGTTAATAAAGAATAGGTTAAAGATTTTTTGAAATTAATATAATAATATATGGACAACAAGGGACCACTCTTAAGGATAGGAAAAGTTTAAACCCAATGCTCATCTTACACTACTTCAAGGTGCCAGCCTCGATTCTGCTAATGGCAACTCATTCCGTAAGCCAGTAACCCTCTTAGGAAAATAATTATCTTAAAGACTAGCTTGTCTTTTTCAAATCTTAAACTTTTATACCTCATCCTTTTGTTTTTCAGGATACAGTACATAACATTAGAGGCTTTTATCCTATCAGTCTCCCAAATAATCCTCTAAGTTTCAATAGTGTCACCTCTTACCCTTCTTTTTTCAAGAGAAAATAAGATCAGAATCTATTTTTATAACATAACCCTTCCATTTCTGGGATCATCCTAGTAGCTCTTTGAACATTTGGAAGTGAGGCCAAATTAGTTAGTGATTTGTATAGAGATAATTACATCTACTGACTTGTAATCAATGTTTATAAATACATCCCAAAATACTATTAACTTTAAAATTAGCAACTAGCTATGATGGTCTGAGTGACTTATTCACCACTGTGGACTCCCATATAAAAAAAAAATATCTTAAACTTGTTTTCTCTGGACAGAAGATGGGTCAGAGGGGATTTGATTGAGGTGTTAAAGATTATTAAGGGTATTGCTAATATAGATCCATCAAACTTTTTTTGTGTTTAGCAGTGAAAACAATAGGACAAAGGGTTACAAGTTCAAATTTTGGCAGTGTAGGAGTCGTCTGCAGTTTAGATGGTATTACTTTTCAAACAGGGTGATTGGCTTTTGGAATGAGTTGCCTTCAAGGGTTGTGGAAGCAGAAAATTTAACTAAGTTCAAGAAAAGATTTGGTGAATACATGGGTAGTAAGGGGTAGTTATAGTTGGGAAAGAGATAGGACATCCTTGGGCTAATAAGCTCCTTTTATGAATTGATGAATATATGAAACATATGATCCGAATTATAATCCAAAATGTACTACCTTATATTTACTATAATTAAAGGTCAGTTGTTCAACTTATGAGTTGATCCAAGCAGGGCCAACTCAAGGTGGGTTCAAAGGCTCAAAGAACTTGCCATAAAATTTGAGGGACTCAGAAATTGTAAAAATTTAGAAAAAACACTCACAAGGAATGAGAAAAGGGATATCACATTGAATATTAGAACATTCAATTCCAGATAAGGTTGTGTATATTCTTATTTTATATATATGAAAATCAAATCAAAGAAATTTTTCAAAATACAGGTATTGCTCTAAGAATTTTATTAAATTTGCCTGTTAGTATAGCAAATAGCAAAAAATTTATTTTGAGACTAAAGGTGATTAAAACATTTTTGCATTGCACAATAGGATAAGCGATAAGATTAAACAGTCTGGTAATAATTTCTGCAGAAAGTGAAATAGCCAGAGAATTTGATATGGTCAAATTAAGGAAAGGTTTTGCCATGTTAAAAGCTTGTAAAGTTTGATTTTCTAAAGACTAATCTTTGCTTTTTATTTGTAGTTTTCTATCATGTACCATTTTTGTACTTTATTTTCTGAATTTAAAAAATATTAATAATTTGTAAAGTACAGAAAAATAAATACAAATTAAAAAAAGGGCACAGTTTTTGAACTTAAGCCAACACTGGGTCCAACTCATACTTCAACATTCTTAGTACAGAGAGAAATATCCATGAACTTAACATCATTAAGTAACAAACATGCTATGTATGACTGTGCTCTCTTCATGCAGCATGAGTCTGTTTAGTAGAGTTGAGATAAGCACATTGTATGACTGTGGCCTCCTCTTGCAACCAGATTCTGTTCAATGGAGTTGAGGTGTGCACATATTACATGTGGACCATTAATTACATAATATGGCATTTTGACTATGTTCAGTTGAGATGAAGTGAGTACTTACTTTACCATACTTATTATATATATAAACATATCTGATATATCCAGGAACTGCAGCTAACGTGTGTTCAGTCAAGTTGAGAGGAACATAATTTATACAGCTCCATACTCCATTACTGTTGTGCCTTCTTCCCAATGTTGGAGTCTCACTGTAGAGCTGAGGTGTGCACAGAAATACATGTCATATAACACTGTGCCCTTCACCCAAAACTGGAGTCTGTTCCATAGACTCTGGCAGTAGAGTTGAGGTGAACATATGACCACTTCTCCCACAGCTGGAGTCTGTCCCATAGAATCTGATGGTAGAGTTGAGGTGTGCACACAAGGAACAGTCTGATCACACTCAACCACACTACACATATTGTTTATCCTACAACTTGTGTTCAAGTTCTTGGATGGTCATGTTCACATTCCACTCATACCTAGACACAAATATGTCTTCTTTGCCTCTTCCCTTTTTCTTTTATAGGCAAAGAGTATACCCTGGAATAGATGAGATGCAGTCTCCCACAGGTGTGCCCCTATGGAGCCCCTGCTATCTGGTGTCACACCCCATGAACCTCTTTCAGGCACTTTCTGAAGGATGTTCATCTAGGTAAAATTTGCAATGACCTCTCCACCAACTGTGTGAAGAGGAGACACTTGCCCCTCCCCCCAGAAAATGAGAAACATAATTCTTTCTTTATTCAATTCTCAATTTCACACTACTTGCCCCTAACCCCAGAAAACTTTGCCCCTCCCTGGAAAAATTTCCAAGGACACCCATGGTTATAAGTTCACACAAATTGATCAATTGTATTTTGAGTTATGGTAGAGAAAATAATAGATAAAATATAAAGCTTTTCGGAAACAAAATGTTTGATATTTATTTAGGAGGTTTTAGTTTACACAATGAAACTTGAAAATTTTCAGATGAGGAAAAGTATTTTTAATCTGAACATGAAAATCACTTTGCATCAGAGCAGTCAATACACTGACTCCATATATTTATGGACACATTTTTAATAAAAGATACTCAATTAAAAGGTCATGTAAAATACACAAACCTGTTGTGAAAGAGTTGGATCATGTGAAATAAGGTGGGAGTTTCCTCAAGGCTAGTGGCATACAAATCTCTATGGCAGATATGCAAGGAAGATAGGTAAACTGTGTCAAGAGGTGAGTGTCTGTCAAACACATTTTTAGGTAAAGAAAATGTTAACTTTAGGGATACCTAGCTTTTTCATACCAAAAGTAATCAAAAATAAAACCCTCAAACTTGCAAAAAATGTAGAATAAATACCAAGTTAATATATTTAACATTCAATACTTTTTTTTTAGTCAGCCCATTACCACTGGAACATCAGTACTTGGAGTGAAGTTTGATGGGGGTGTAGTAATTGCAGCTGACACTCTTGGATCTTATGGCTCTTTAGCCCGTTTTCGACAATGTCAGAGATTGATGAAAGTTAATGACAATATTATCCTTGGTGCTGGTGGGGATTATGCTGACTATCAGTTTCTTACATCAGTTATTGAAAGAAAAGTGTAAGTATTTATTGTTTTTAGCAAAATGAAAGAACTTTTTAATATAAAGGTATGTTAGTAGTCTTACACTTTATCATATAATAAAAAATAATTAGCAGGATAAAACTGAAATATTTTGGTAATACATCAAGTATTATTTTTATATATAAGTGCTCAGATTGAGGTTTAATTCTAAGTTTAAGCTACATGTATAGTTCATGTTTGTATATTTTCATGATATATGATTCTGAAATCTTAGAATAAGCATTAACTTTAATTAGATCTATACCCAAAAAGTAATATTATTGATAATATTTTTCTTCTATGTAGTGGTTGTATAAAAAAACTGCTGTATTTTAAACTCTAAGCCTAAATACCAAGCACCAAACTTCTATTTCCATTACATATGCAAATATTCAATACTTTACCAGGATGTACGATCTACAGCTTTGTCCCTTGTTAACACTACCCATTAAAAGCTACAGTCATTCAATACATGCAGTTTATTAAAGGTGTTTTTTGTTGTTTGCAGCTGTGAATTAGTCATATAATTTGCAGTCATTTAATAGAAGTATTATTTTGAACTTCCAACATTCATTTGTTATTTTATTAACTCTGTAATTGTTGTCAAATCAGTTAATTGAAACATTAAAAATATTTCACTAAAATTTTAACAGTATTGCAATGTTACTACATGTACATATAACTTAAATGAATTGATCGTCTTCTTACATGCCTTCTGGGTATCAAACATCATTGATTCTACCATTCTCTAATTTTCATTTTTAGTATTGTTTGACTAACAAAATTGCTGGTTTTCCTAATAAAACTGTCAGTAACTTAACCAACAATCATATTCTAAAGCAAAATTTGCTACCATTTTAGAGAAAGTAAGAAGTATTTTATTTTGGTAGACAGTAATGTTTGTTGTTTTCAATAAGACCATCTTGCATCATATAATAAATCTTTGGTAATTGACACTATCTAGCTTTTCATATTTTATGATGGTGGGAGATAAGTAATAATGATCTAGATCCCTAGTCTGTTAGGAAGGTTGCAAGGTGTTCAGACTTTGAATAATAATGAGAGTGAGAAGAGAGAGACTCATCAAGATTATTACTCTGTTAGGGAGGTTACAAGATATTTAGATTTGGAGCAATACTGTGTTAGAGTGAGGTGATAACATGATTAATATATAAATATTACTACTCTGTTAGGTAGGATAGAAGATATTAAAACTTGCACCATTATCATTGGATAGTAAGGAGGAGGTGGAGGTGAAAAAGATTCACATTTGGATCACTACTTTTTGTTAGAAAAGATACAAAATACTTGTATTCAGAGCACTACTGCCTAGCTGTGAGGAAAATATAAAGAAGTGTCGATCTGGATCATTTCTGTGATTGAGAGGATATAAAATATTCAAACATAAATACAACTCTCTGAAAATGAGGAGGCCAAAAGGAATAGATAAACAGTTTAATGTGGTCCAAAGAAGATGAACTATTCAAATTTACAAGATATGTTAGTTGAGCACAATACTAAAATTATGATACATTTCTTTCATAGATTCAGATCAAAAGCAATAGTATCTTTTACAGCACAGACATGGAGTGTTACTGTTGTATGATAATATGAAAAAATAATGGTGCTTAGAAGATAATTTAGTTCAAGATTGACAAATGTGCTTTAAGGTATGATATAAAGAAATAAATATGAACAAAAGTGCTGCAGGTATTAGGCTTACCATCTTGCTAAAACTGAAAGGCATAGTCTTTGCTTTCTATTTCTTAAGTCATAAATCTGTTACTACAAAAATGTCTTTCATCCGTATAGCAATTGTGTGAGAACATTTAATTATTTTATAAATTAAATTTGAAAGATTATTACAGGTGTCATAAGAAAAAATACAGTAATGAGCTGAATATTTGTTTTAATAGTATTGATGAAGAATGCCTAGGTGATGGATTTAACTTAAAGCCTAAATCACTGTATTCCTGGTTGACACGTGTACTGTATAACAGGTAAGATTTTGATACTTGTGATAGTTATTTAACTTTCAAAGGCACAGTAGTTGTTAAGCCAGTACGGGAAAATTTTTACAGAATGAAAAAGAAAAATTAAGATGAAGAATAAACTCTTCTAATAAGTGACAATTATTATTTTTGGTAAATTGTATAAATAAATTTGACTTTGAACTCATTTACGTGTTAAGATTGTAGGTTTTAAGTGTACAAGCTGTATTTTAATGGTTTAAACATTGTTTATTTCTTATCAGAGTGCTAATTGTAAGTTTCAAGCTGTTTTTGTTATAGTAATATTAAATGGTATGATAAATGCTCATGGAGCAGATTTGTTTCAAAATATCATAGAATTATATATAAAATACTGGTTTCAATGTTGTTGTTTTTCATGACAGGAGGTCCAGGTTTGATCCACTTTGGAGCACCTATGTGGTAGGAGGTTTACAGGATGATGATGTGTAAGTTCACATATTTTAGACAGATTTCTACACCATAAGTTTTTCAAATTTACAGAAAATATAACAATAAATACAGAGTTGAGTATGATATGTTAAAATAATGTGGATTATGCAAACCAGCAAGTCTTCTGACAGTCACACATGATATAAAGTTGAAGGGGAATAACGTGTATCAGGACTACATTCTAAAATTGCTTGGCATTTTGTAGGTAGGGTGATGCTACTGAATATTTATTGCTTTTGGGAAGGGTATGTAACAGCTCTCTCTCTCTGATGCACAATGCTCATACAATTAGGTCATAAAGATGTATTTAGATTGCAGACTTAGAATTTCCAAAGCAGGGATATTCCTTGTATTTAATGGCATTGAAAAAACAAAGAAATATGAATCAACTTGTAACTATCCAGAAAGAGATTTGCACCAAACCATATGCCAGCTGTGATAAACAAAGTATAGCATCTTGTAACAGGTGAAAACCCACAAACTCAGAGGTCAGTGCAAAAACCACTATGTGGCCCAGGCAACAATACACAACATAATCAAGAAGGATCTCCCTCCATCTGGAAAAATGACCCAACATGATTCTATGATACATACGTTCAACCATCATATATCACAAGAAGTTAGAGTATGATATGTCTAATGATCCACAGGATGCAGTACTTATGGATTTGTATGATCAGACTGTTGAAATGGGTACTGATTACCTGCACTAAATAGATGATGGAAAGCATGCATGGAGGAGTAGTGTGCTTTGGACACTACGTTTTTATGAGGGAGCTTTTTGCAATAGAAACTACACTGATGGGCTGTGATTAAGTTGCATGGTTGTCAGAGCATGATTGGGCATAGCAGTATGGACTGTAACAATGTGGTGAGGCTCCAAAAGTGTTTTAATATAACATGTCAAGTATTACATTAATATTCTTGTTTTTACATGTTATACAAAGAAATGTCAAGTATTACGTAATCATGATTTGAGACTTGGTGTTTTGATATACTTATAAGCATGATACATAAAAGGTGAGTACAGTTCATAAAAGTTAATTCAAACACAGTAAAAAGATGCTAACACAAACCTTCTATTACAGTAGAACTTAATTCATTGAAGAACTTTTAGAAAAATTAACAAAATGCTGGTTATGTAATCATCAGTGATATCATGGAGAGTAGGGAATTTGTGACTACCTTGATTGACTGCATACACATGTGTGTGCTGATATTGTAATTGTTGTAATGTTTAGTAGTGGTTATGTTAGTTGTTATTAAGTAGGAGAAATGGGTGTGTGTGTGTGTGTGTGAAAAATTGACAGAACTAAATAACTGATAATTAATGAAGAGTGATAAAAGGAAGATTTTTTCTTGGAAGCAAAAAATGAACATAACTACATATTAAAATAAAGATATAAAATGTGAAAAGCTAAAAACTTTTTTTTTATAATTTTTAACAAGGTCATGAGAATCAGTTGGATATTTCTCCTCTCAGGAGAAACTTATAGTAACATATAGTAAATAGCTTTATATATTTTTTTTTTTAAGCCTCAGTCTAAAGTAGTTGTTGCTTTTCAGAAAGATATAAAAATTGTATATGCAGCTGAGAAGTTGAATTTGCACATGTTTAATAGACCATACATTTTGATAAATGCAGTCAAAATGAAATATTTTCTACAAAGTTACAATATTGTAAAGCATAAAATGTCATGTCTGATGATATTCAAAGTGTTTTAGAATATGTTGAGAACTCGTATTTCAGATGCTTGCGATCTTTTATATCAGTTTGCTGATTACAAGAACAAATGTTCATCTGATGAAAAGGAACTTGTAATGAATATAATTTATATTTGAAAACTTAAATTCAGTAAGTAATATACATGACACTGGAGAAGTAGTGCTTTCTACTTTATCACCTGTTGCCTTAACTCTTACAGCAAGGGCTCAATCCCTGGGACCGACCTCATAACCATTTTGTGCTTGTTATAGTTTTCATGCCACAACTTTTAAATTAAACAGTGTATGTTAACGAAATTTGGCAGATTATCAGTAAACATTACAATGCTTTCATGTGCAAAATATCAATTTTTTTTATTAAGTCTTAAGGTTTGTTAAACAATGTTTTTCTCATGCCTTTTTTTCTTTTCACATGTTGCCTATTCAACATGCAAAGTAATTTTCATTTTAAAATTAAAAATACTTTTATGCATCAGAAAATTTTCAAATTTCACATGCAAAATCTTTATAATGTCAAGATAGTTATCAAATGTTTCTTAAGAAAAACACACTTTGTATTTTATCTGTTATTTCCACTAGTGAATCTGTATGGGTTCTGTAGATTTGACCGATCTTGTAACCACCATAAAAAAATTAGGAAATATATATAAATTATGCCTATTTCGTTCTAGAAGGACAACAGTTTATAACATGAAAACATAAATGTTTAGACTAAATAACTTAAATTGCATAACAATATACATTTATGTATATTTATTATTTTTATTATATTGACCTTTCAGCCATGCCTGTTTAACAATACAGAAGTTAAAATGATGTGACACATGTGCTCTCATGTTATCGTATCAAATATTATAAAACTGACCTTTAATGTTTCCAAAGTGACCCGTCTTGGCTGTGTTTTAGTAGACTAGTATTGTGTAAAATACAGTAACATTTCCATTATTATACATTATATATGTACATAGATTATTACTATTTAGAAATAACTTCTTACACTTATTTTACTTAAAACATAGAACAGTAAATGAAGAACTAAAGCAAACAATTATCTCTTCTAGTTATACCCTTTTACTCGGTTGCTGCTTGGTATA